AAAAATTAAAAAAACATGTAAACAACGAAATGCGCAAAAATGTATGTAACTATCGATTAAATAACCGAAAAATTCGTTTTACATTAAATCTAAAAAAAATAGCTCGTTATTTCACACACTTTCTATAAACTCGAATAAATTATTTCTTAGAAAATTTCTGAATGAACAGTATCGGAAAGAAATGTGAAAGGATGATTGAACAGTGTATCGTCGTGGATGGATGTGCCAATTAATATGAATGATTGATGACATCAATTTCATTTTTTTAAAATTTTGAACAATTTCAGTCTTGAAAAAGAAAATAAAATTGAAATTTGGAAGATTAGAAAAGAAAATGCACGAACAATGATGAGTGCATTCCTTGATGTGTCGTTTTGCATTCTATTCGAGAAAACTCATAAGAAAATAAGTTTTTTGCCAATAAAATTCGCAACCAATTCCACATTTGAAGATACGAATGGCGGCGTTAACATTTTTCTCAATAATCTTTTAAAAGCAGAGAAATCAACAAAATAACCTGGAAAAAGTTGGGTATTAAAATGAGGAAATATTGATAAGAAAAAAAACATAATAATACATCATAAATGTATCAATACAGAATGCAAATTTCATGAATACAATGGTAGTCATAATTCAATTATGAATAATCTTTCTGTTTAATTATTTTAGCAAAATATTACGGATATCTTTCACATATTTTAAATGCAGATGAATTGCATAAATATGAAATAAATTCTAGTAAAAATTCAATCTAATCAAATAAAATGTGTACGAAGTACTAACATTTACAGTTTTCAGCTTCTGAGTATGTTAATTCTTAATCAGATGACCTATTTACATGGAACATTTTAATTTCAAGCACGATTCCCAGTCTCTCGATAGATATTTTATTGAAAGGACAAAATAATGATATTCAGATAAAACAATACTAATGGAAAATTTCACTAATAATGCACTTCATGAAGATGAAGTTCTGATAAAAATATTTCGTTTAGCTTAATAGTTTAGCCAACAAATATAAAACCTGCAAAGTAACTCTTACTGAAAATCTCTCATTAAATGTTTTAAATTACGATAGGAACACATTGATAAGCAATATGCAATACATTAGGTTGTTCAGTTTAATTCCTAAAAATTAAATTTTTATCATATTTTGTTAAAGTTCTTCATTATTTCGTGAAAACATTAACCGATTTCTCACATAATCTCAGTGAATCCTTATTTTATGAAGAGTAACAGTGTAAATTACATGCCTTATCCCTTCCCACGTTACCTCATTTCTACCCAAATATCATAATGTTACTCAGAAATTGAAATTCTTTTGAATGCACTTAGCATAAGCATACATCGATCATTGTAGTAAATCTCGAAATTTACCGTTTGTTCTTTCTGCTATTCGATACTATTGTTCTGCATCACCAGTCTCTACCCAATGATAAAATTCTTTAATATTTCACTCGAACAATTTGAAATTTCGATTTGAAGAGATGAATTTTTTTTTAAACATAATTATGTGCTCCACAATTATATTCAGACCAGTATAAATGTAAAATTCCAGAATTATGCTGTACCGAAACACTCACTCATCGTCGTTATACCATACATGACGATATTGACCGACTTATTTCTCATTTCTTCGCAACATCCTTCACTCCTTCGCTACCTTGCTATTGCTAATCTAGCACAATTGGTGGCCATCTCCTCTTTTCACGGTAGCTGAAGTGTGAATCCCGCTTGATTAGCGGATGACATAAGTTACTACAATATACAGGACGTATCAGTATATATTTAACGGAAAACGTCTAACGTCACGCTTGAAATTACATCGACAAATTAGATTATTCTCTTCGGCAAATGGAAAAAAAGGACAATTGGGACGAATTGAATTTTATAAAGTAGATGAATAATTTCCAGCCAAAGAAGCCTCTTAAAAATATACTCAGTGCACGTTAATTGAGCAGAATGTTATTGCTTTTCCACCTAAAGGTAAACTGTATGCATCAAATGTGAGACTGCTAAAGACTATCCTACAACACTGGTCCGAGTTTTTGTGTCCGGCCTTGTGCAATACTTCGAAACAAACATTTCCTGAAATTTATGCAAACAAATAAAGACAGACAATCAAAAACAAGCAAAACATTTGCAACAGCGACAACTTTATTTCGATTTCAACCCTCTCGGATGTAGATGTATTCCTAGTTCTCTAAGCCGTCTTTGCCCACTTTGTAGATTAATATGAAAATTCCACTTAACAAATATGAGACAATATGAACAGCAAGTCCCCAAGAAGGTTGGACGCAAAAATGCAATAGGCTACACCATAAATGTCAAAAGATAACTGTTACAGGTTGTTAGGATTGAATTTTTTGAAACATAAAATTTAAAAGGAAAATCAGAATTATTGGCAAAAAAAGAGCAATTGGATATCTTTCAAACCGAAAACATGGTTCTCTTTCAGTATTGCCCTCGGCAAAATTTCACTTTAAGAGTATACTCATTAATTTCACATAAACATCCGTAGTAAAAGAGGGCAAATTATGAATTTAAGCAAAAGAATGATGCTAAACTTTTTGACTTATATTCAAAATAAGTAAACAGAAACAACTGGGTGACACAATAATAATAAATCTTTGATTGGTCAAACTTCCCTACCCTGCCTTTCCTAAGAGTAAAATAACACGCAAACAGTGCGTGTTGTCTGTCTGTTACAACAATCCAAAAATTTCAATACCGCAGTGTGTCATAAAGGGACTCGACATGCGACAAAAAAGTTACCTGTAGATGGAAAAATACATATGTTTTTAACACATATAATTGATGAAACTGATTGTTTTACGCAAAACAAGTAGAAATTATAATTATTCATCAAACCAAAAGAAAACAAGTTCAAAAAAGGGGAAAAAAACACGAAAAACGATCATTTGAAAAAGCGCGGAAATGTGACTTCAGTTCATTCACTCAGCTTGTTCTGTTCTTCCTCTTAATTGCCACCTGCTTCACCCGCTTGCTCACCACCTTCCTGATCATCCGCGCCTGTGTCCGATGTCCATAGCGTAAGGTTGTCACGAAGGAGCTGCATGATTAATGTGCTGTCTTTGTAGGAATCCTCATTCAAGGTATCCAGTTCGGCAATCGCATCGTCAAATGCCTGTAGACAAAGTTCAAATATAAGTAATGAAAATAATACCTATTTACATCAGTGAGGGTTATTTTAACAAATGTGGGCATATCTTTGTAATAAAATTGAAATATCCTCGCAACAAACTGATTTTTTCACTGGATTCAGATTGAGAGAATAACTCCATATGAATCAAATTTCAAACAATGGATATTCCGAATAGATATCAAAATACCATCAATCAGCTTATGCCCGCTAATGTATCTGTTGAAATGAAAAGCATCAATCGAGGGGAGAATTGAAACAAAGGAAAGCAGCAAAATACCAATAAAAATACATAAATTATGACTGAACTATAGTCCTTCAAAAGTTTTATTCCCAAGTGTACAGGAAGATTGCCAAAACCAACGGATGGCACCTAAGCCGCCATTAGCACTTCATTATGAGGGCCATCCAACCTAGCAAACATTTAAATGGGTCTGAACCAATTCATGATGGACAACAATTGATGATACTAAATTTTCAATTGATTTCCTTTCAAGGAAACACTTAGTAGTAAATCAAAAGCCAGAGAAAGACAAAAAAAGAAAAGGAATGCAACGATAAGAAGCGCATGCATGAATGTTAACACTCGCACACTCACATCCCCTCTTAAAATTTTTACAAGAATTTTTGAATGCTTTGCCCAGAAGTTTTTATCCTCAATCGGAAAACATTACGGAAAAAAGAAACCTGACATTGAAGATAGGCCTACTAATTGACCACTAAAGTGCTTATGTTAACTTAAACTGATATGCGACGTAAAATTTAATTCTATATTCCTACATTTTTCCTTAAATTTTTAAAATCAAAATTGCTTTTCGGTTCTTCAGCTCACCGGAGCATATTTGGTCCTGCTACTCTTAAAGGACACAATTACTCTTCTCTTAACTCGAATAAACAGCTAATGGCAAGTGCTTCAAAGATGAGTTTTGTTATTCCATAGCAAAACTCGGCACCCTAAACTCTAAACGGATTTGGAAATGAGACTGCAGAAAAATTTTATTAGAAAAGCTAGAAAACCTACTGCAACTGTGTTAATTCACATACTCACACATGCATTTTCGGAAGCAGAAGCGATTATTGGACGTGCTTTGAGGCCCTCAACACAACTTCGCCTAATATCCAGGATTGTGGACTCCAAGGAACCACGAGAAAATTATCATACCATGAAGAGCAAAATCCTATGTAGGACACAAAACCAAAATTCCTAATGAAATAAGGTTCGATTCCCATTTTTTCAAATTGAGAAATTAATTGCTAATGAATTGTGAACAAAATATGATATCATTCAGGTCCCTAACCGGCTAGCCCCCCTAACTCAGCAGAAGCATTTCGGACCGCAATTACACTGTATTAAAACATTTTTCCAGAAATTTCCAATTTACGGTCCTCAATTTTCTGCATAGAAATGGAAGCCATCAATGGTAATGTAGATGTGAGAGTTGCAAAAAGAGAGCCTCAGAGAGCAGCAATACGTATTTTGTCAAGTGTCGGCTGAGTAATAAATCGGAACATTCAATGTTTCGCCGACCGGCACTCTATAGGATCCGGCCCACCTGTTTGGCGAGTTGACACGCACGATCGGGGCTCGATGAAATCTCGTAGAAGAAGACACTATAATTTAGAGCGAGGCCCAAACGAACTGGATGGGTAGTCGAAAGTTGTGCCTTGGCAATCTCAAGTGCCTCCGAATAGGCTTTCTGACCCGCATCTGCCACCGCTGAAACAAACATAAACCAACCATTCGAGTGGCAATAATATAAAATGAACCCGTCTTCACGCACCTGTTTAGCAAGTTGACAGGCCTTGTCCGGCGCATTCAGTATCTCGTAGTAGAATACCGAAAAATTGAGTGCAAGCCCAAGCCGGATCGGATGTGTGGGCTGCATTTTGTCCTTCGCGATATCGAATGCTTCCTGGTAGGACTGCTGTGACTTCTCCACTACCACTAAATAGAACAGAGAACCACCGGTCAGCACCAACAAACTCAAACTTTAATCTCCTATTCCTCAGCATGGCAAATAGGTGCATATTCTCGAGGAACGAGAACAGTCTTAAAATGTACTTCCCAACACTTTCCCGCGGAAAATTTTAAGAGTGCATTTACGCCTTTCTAAGCCATGGATTAAAAAGTTCAAGCCAAAATATCCATATGAAGAAATCTTCATGGAGGTATTTCATTCCAAATTATTTTAATAGTTGATTTAGGACTGCTGTTGGGATAACAATGCTTTATCCATCACGGTACACCATACAGTGGTGCACCAATTTGTAGTTTTTGTCTTTTCTTATCGACCAATACATATGCTGCGATGCTATTATACTCACTTATAGCATTCAGTTTTAAACATCCGTCCCAGCGATGTGTAATTTTTCGAGCTACCAACTATTAACATCCAAAATATTAAATTATATAATTGAAAGCTATGCTTACCGTTACGATCATCTCCACTTGCAACTTCAGCCAGGTATCGGTAGTAGTCACCCTTCATTTTCAAGTAGAACACCTTCGATTCAGGATTCCCTGCTTTCGGAATGAGGTATTTGTCCAGAAGGTTCTAAAATTGATATCCTACCATATAGACTTGAATCAGTATTCCCGAAATCAGCTCTTTTAATCTTTTATTGCAATACAATCAAAAACATTTTCAAAGCGTATGCAACTATGAAACAAAACATGAATTTGTGCTGAAATGTTACTTAGTGTACTACTGCAAAAACTCCTTTAGATGATGACCTACCAAAACATCCTGACAAATATCTCGCAGTTCCTTCTCAACCTTTTCGCGATATTCCTTTGCCATCTGCTGCTTCTTCTCTGAACCTTCGGTCTTCTGTTCAATGGATGATATTACCCGCCAAGACGAGCGTCGCGCCCCGACTACATTCTAAAACGTATGTACTGCTTTCATTTCCAATACATCAAACCTTTTTTTACAAATACCTTTTACATAAGTATTCATTTTATGCAAATAAGCTGAATGCCATACTATCCCGAAACACTTGTCAGTTACGATTGCTGATGTTTTGCCTCCACAAATCCTATTCTTTCTGGCTTGCTACAAAATAAGCCAGAAAGTTCACTGGATGCTTGTGACATCAGCAAACATGACACATATGTTGCTGTATGGGACTCCTTCCTTGCAGAGCAATCAATTGACGATGTCCTTACCGTTAGTACACAACGCAACGCTATAGGCGACGCGCACCGGGCAGAACCCAGTTCAATGAGGTCTGAACATGTGCTCTGAAGATTCAGAGAGGTGCCGTGCGAATTCAATCGAGCTCACTGAGTAACTACTACTATAATAATCGATAAGCCATTTGATGCATTCACCAAACGATCCAGCAAACCGCTAAGGAGATTCCCATTATCTAATATGACGATCTGCTTCTATCCTCTCTCCTCTCCCTCACTCACTCTCCTCCTCCTTTCTTTTTCCTTCCCTTCTGCACTATCACAAACATCTCTATTTTAACTTCCAATCTATGCATGATATTTCACTGTTGTTTAACTCCATAACAACTCCTTTCCTCTTTTGTCTGCATGGAATGATCAAACATTATTTAATGTCTTTGTAAGGTTTCCATTAGTTCTATCAAAAACCAAACTCAGTATCAAAATTCAGTATCATGCTGAAGCATCATACTTTTCTGATATCAAATCAAAAAAATACAAACAAATGATAAGAATTCGGAAAATTTTGTAAAAACCTTGTAAGCAACAGAGAGCAAATTACGTTCCTCATTTGAAAGTTCTGCACCCAATTCGGTGACTCGCTTCATTGATTGAGCCATGTCGTCGTATCGCTCGGCCTAAAAAGCAAACAACTGATTTTTTCACAACCAATTATATCGTATAACCATTTATTAAGTAGCTTTGTAATTCCACCATGAATGCCATATTAGTTCTTTAATGCTGTTAATACCTTTATCGATTTAAACAATTTGGGTACTTATCGCATTAATTGGAACTCGAGCAAATGAAGATGAAATATATCTAGAAAACACTTTTCTACCATTAATAATTCACCTGTTCGGCAAGTTTGGCGCGCTGAACAAGTTCATCTTTATTTTCTGCCATTTCGGTAGGTGTAGGTTTTGAATAGTTCTAAGCAGCTAATGATAAACACAGCAACACCACTGTCCACACAATTCAGCTGAACAACAAACACGTAATTAAAAAGTTAAAGAAATAAACGCCAAGCGAATTATACCAAAAACGACAAGACAAGTTGGTTGCTCCGTGTAACTTTCTTTGGAAACGAAAGCAAGCTCTCTTAGCTTCACCTGAAATGAATGGCACCTTGAAAGGTCCGTCACCTTACTTATGATCAATCATATATTCTCATTTATCATGAATAAAATCCAGCATAAAAATAAAGCCTTATCACCCCGCTTTCCCTGACCATAACATTATTTAGGACGATACTTAAATCCTACACATTGACCTTACACATAAGTCTGCAGCCATTCCAAACAAATATGCAATAGATGCTACGCACGAGATATAATGGATCTATACAGATTTCATTTAATTGGTTGTATGAGAGAGAAGGAGCATGAAAGAAAAGCGAGAAAGGCAGAATTGAATTCTGTGATGTAGCAGCATAGTAAAAAGAGAATGTAAATAACTAAAGGTTAACCATTGGATCAATATTTTCGAACAAAAAATACTAAGTAAAAATGACGTTAATTCATGAATTCTAAGAGCTAATCAAAAACTACATGCAAAATCGATACAATATCGATAACAGAAATTGTTGTTAAAAAGCAAGCATAATACATATTGGACAACTAAACGTGAATAGAATATAAAAAATAAGAAACCAGTCAAAAATCTGTCAAACTATCACAAGTTAAGTGTAACTATCACCAGTTAAGTGTGAAAATATAGTTAGCGTACGTAACCCAATCGATTTATCCCATTAATGCTCATTTCATTGAACTTTCTTCCCTATAACTTCTTCAAAGAATCAAACTATAAACCGTGATGGGCAAATTACCATTTCAATAATGGTTAGCCTAAAAAAAAATGATAAAAATGAGGCTTCCGATATATCCGCCTGCGGTAAATACGTCACAGCACTACGAGAAAGCAAGCGAAGATGATGCTAAACTATCACAAAAATGAATTTACTCCGACAACAACGCCCAAATGATATACATGTACACACATACATACACATACATACATACACATACATACACACACACACATACACACACACACACACATACGCGCACACAATAATGATCAACACGATGACAGTATAACACACAGATAAGACTGCAGAAAATGCAGACAGACAGACAGACACATACACACATACACATACATACACGGACATACAAAGAATTACACCCCCAGCCTGAACTACACAACCCGACCTCCCAAGCAGTATGCGGAGAGGACAAATGGCAGGGAGGTACGTGTGTGTGTATGTATGTGTGCCACCAGACAGTCATACAATGAACCATTTATAGGGAGCGTATAATGAATGGGCATGTGAAATAGTGCCCGAAAGAATTCATTAAATATCAAACGTTACAAGGGCAAACTAGGTGGTATTTATGGATTTTTCAAAGATTTACGTATGAAATTTATGTAGAACGCGTAAAATAAGAATTTTTGACGTGTGGTATTTGAATTGAAATCGAATTGATTGAAAATTTCAGAGCGGATGATTCCGAGGGAACGTCGATTTGATTGACTCCGCCTCACATAACAATTCTTACGGGGAGCGTCTTATGAATTCATATGAAATAGTGCCAAGTATTAGCTTAATCTTTTCAAAATTATCCATGTGCTTTGGAGTGTACCGTTTGACCTCAGAAATCTGGCCTAATTTCTAGTTTAGAAAATGTCAAAATTCCGAATTTACTTTAAAATATTGCATAAGTTATTAGACGAGGTCAAAGCGGATGATTCCGGGGGACATTCCACTTTTTGGCTGCTGTTTTTGATCTGGAGGAATCGGTGCGTACGTGCAAAAGGGAGCGGTCAATAATTCGCTTTCCTCTTGCCTCCTTCCCGATCAGTTTATAGCACAGCTTTAAGCAGTGGGCAACAATTCCGGCAGATTTCATATCATAATATCCGTAGCACTCCGGTTATCCGGCTACTTCTGTACGACTGGAGATAATTTCAGTTTTCATAAGATATTGTACACACACATGCACACACAAACATACAAACAGTAAGACTTAAAAGGATGCTAGTTTGAATTAGCTTGAAATGTGACCGTATTATTCCTCTTAAAATGAAGTAATGATATAAAGATGTACTTGCATTGATTAATGTATTTGTTGAAAAATTCATTCACTTAATTTTTAAAATGATGCAAGAGAGAGTAAAAAGTTCAATTTGATTAGTCATCAAATATTTTGTTTTTTTTTTTCGATTTTTTTTTTGTTGAAATTGATCGATCAAATCAGGAAATGAGTAATCGGTGGAAGCTGGTCCGGATGAGTGGAAGAGTGATAACATTGAAATGGACATGTAGAGGAATTCATGTCATTTTTTTCCGACAGTTGTATTGTTGCTGATCGAATGTATTTGCATTAGTTGCAGAAAACAAATCCACTGCATGTTTTTTTTTTTTGAAATGTGAAATGAAAGAAAAAGCAATTTTGAATTATCCATCATCGAATGATCGACTGTAGAAAATTGCTATGAAATATTATATTCTGTTGGATATCATAACTATAAACTTGAACTTGAAGCAAATTATCAATTTAACGAATCTTTTTTTTTCCTGCAATCGAATAAGTAATATTTTTTCGAGACTTTTAATTTCTAAGCTTTAAATTTCTCAAACCTAAGTTGTTGTATCTCTCAGAGAGCTGTTAACCTCTTTAATAATCCAACAATTAATTTTTACCGTATCTCGAAGGAATCAAAAGGAATTTAAGTATTCATTACATTTGTTCCAAATTCTCTATCGAAAAAAAGGAAACTTTTCAACCTGAATAGAAAAAATTTTTTAAAAATCGGATTTATTACAATTGCGAATGATGATTCAATTCAATAAAACAAGTTTATAGCTTCTTTTTTCATTTTTTTTTTATTCCCTTATTGTTCTATGACGTTGGGCGGGTAATGCTATTTAATTTTTTTAATTGAACGGAATTTTTTTGTTTTTTCTAATTAAAAAGAAATTGCAATCAAACAGGAAATCCAAATTTAGTTTCAAAATTTTCTACAAATTGAATCGCAACTTTTTACTTCAATATTCTGTGAAAGCGCAAAAATTTAATGAGAGTTTTTATTTGTGCCAATCATTGTGATGATTCTATCGATTGCTCATAATTCTTTCCACCTTCTGCTCTAACTTGTCACTTCTTTACTTGTCCAATGCTTCATTTTCAAATGAGAATGTACGTAACAGCAATAGAAAATAAAATTAAAAAGAAAATAAAGCACTTTAGACTATTATATCCTTTTATGCTCGAATTACTAGTTGTTAATGGTATTGTTCAAGAGCTGATAAGAAGTTCAGTTCTTGCTTTTCTTGCTGTGATATTTTACCAAGCTTGAAATTGTAGGCGCAGATTTGAGTGCCACTCTTGACATTCAGCCAATTACCCATAGATAGATATCAAGTTTACTTACTAAATTTAAACAAGTTATGTGATCACTTAAAATAAATGATCATTTAAATCATTTATGATAAAAAAAAATATATCCATTGTTACAAACTACTTTTTTTTATTTTCTAAGCTATTATTATTAACTATAATATCAATGCTTAACCTGAACTAATATACTATTATCTTCCTTGTTTCTCAATTATTCCACAAGAATTATCTTAAAATAGTTTTCCAAAGAAATATCCAACTTTTATCCTACATTTACTTGTGTAAAACATCCAATATTGATATTGTCTACTAGATTGATGGACAAACAAAGCTGTAAGCAACTTCTCTACATTTAGCTTTGTAATCCTTGCAAAGCAACCATTTTAAACTCTCTCCGAAATAATTCGCTCAGGCTCTCATTACTCTGTCCTTATCACCACATACATACATACATACATACATACATACATACATGCGTACATACACACATACCCATATGTACACACTACCTCCATCGTCTTCCCTCTTTGAAGTCATACGAAATTCAAATTGAAACTGTCGTCAAGAGCTATAATTGTGAAGGATTGCGAAATGAATGAGTGACAAATGCAAATCGTCACAATGCCATCATTTTCTGGATGAGAAAATAATGGCATTATGACGCAATTCCATACTCTCTTGATAACGAAAAATTTATTCAGAAAATACGATCAGTCACTATCACTTTTCAAAAGATAGCTGATCTGAGTAGGCCTTTCATAGCTATTTCTACTTTCAACTTTTTTATACAAAAAGAAGGGATTCGTTTATTTGTACATATTTTATTTGTACAAAAAAAATTTATTTGCAAATGAATTAAGCTTGAGGATTTTTCCAACTCTACCACTAATCCTGAAAGAATTGCTTGATACTAGCTCTTAATTCTCTAAAACTGATTTGTATCCAAAAGATAAATATATGGTGTAATGTTTATCTCACAATGTGGCTAACATCATATCTTTTAACCGAGATTTTTTGATTCAACTGATACTAAGCTTTGACACAAACTGGATATCTTTATTAATCTCACTCAGCATTTAGCCCGTTGCCCACACACGGAAAATTTGTATATAACGGAAAAAATCGTGCGAACACAAAATGGGAAGTATTTATGTGCCATTTGTCTCTTGAAGCACATCTGTTTTGTGTTAAAAAATAATAAGTATAATCGATAAAAGATACAAATATACATACAAACCTATATTACACTTAGATTCAAATGAATCAATACTACAAAATAAGTTCTTAAAAGATAGCAATTTTTCACACATGTTATATAATAAAAAAAGCCAGAAGTGATGAATTGAAGATTGGATGTTAACAGATAAGGAATTTTTTTTGAGCAAAATGTTTTCTAAATTCTCAAGTAAGCGGAATTATTTTCTTCAGTAACAGTAACTTAAGGCCTATTAGAATAAGTCTGCTAACCACTGAGTAGGTTTCAAAAAGTTTGCAGCCAAATGCAGATTTCTTTGAACAATCATCTAAAATCCTTACGATTGTATAAATTCCACAAAAAGTCTCAAATCATAAATCATCATATCACTTTAGTTCAACCATGATGCTTTGGATAAAGTGTATGACCCCACAGAAGTTATCGATGTTAAAAGACTTCTTTAACATAATGGTCGTTGTTATAGATATATCATATATGGTTACATAAAATCATTAGGAACAGTATAACGATGGAGAAATTTCTTACTTCGCCAAATTTTAATTTTCCCATCAGTTTTTCCAACTGACACTGCCATGGTACCATCAACTGGATTGAGTGCAACCGCTGCAGCTCCTCCAGCATGCGGTAATTCTCCGATAACACAATGATATTCACGTGACCAAATTCGTCCACCATCAACTGAGGCACTAAAAATCATAACGGAAACATAAATATTTGAGTAATTTTTTGAGAAAAACAGACGAGGGCAAAAAAAATAAGCCGATTTCGAAATCTAAAAGCTTAGTTCGATATCTCGGGAGTAAGTGTAAATTGAACTCAAAAAGCAGTAGTCTCGAGGAAGAGTTAAACTTCACCTAGCAACATAATGTCCACCAACAGAACAACCAAATCGTTCAACACGTGTAGCAAAATGACCAATATATGACTTTTCAATTATCATCGTGGATAAATTGACGACACAAATTTCGGCCTCAAAAATCATCTTTTAATATAGTAAATATTACCGCCTACTGACAAAATTTATTTCTTTCTGTTCTTACCCATCGAAGTCTTATCCAGAACTTATTACCGATTGTCAGTACAACTAATTGTACTGGTAAGTAAACAGTGAAATGGATTGACGAACATTACGTCAGAAACTTCTGAGATTATGATCAGATCAATTTGTCACAAAAGTTTTATCTAATGTATGAATGTTTAGATTTTTAAAAAACAGTGTTATCAGAAATTTAATGAATAAATAAAATCTAAAAAGTAAGTAAATTTACCAAATATGCAAACTGCGAACTACCACCATAATTATCATGCGTAACGTTCACATACAAATATCTGAAAATGTAGCTATTAAAATATAAAAGTAACGAAATAATGTGAGACAAAGGGCATCAAAGTTTATTTTAACAAGTTTAACTGTTACCACACTATATTAATTAAGAATATAAAACAATAAAATGAGCAATAAAATATCAAAAGTTATGGCACCTCTAACAATTTACCATTTTACGTCATTCTGCAAAACAATTTTAAACACAATTTTTAATTACGACACCACCACAGCTTACGACTGGACAAAACAAAATCATAATTCACTCAATTTTATCTTCCCTCTATACTGATAAAAACCAAAAAAATAATCAATCCTAATATTCATTCAAAATGAACCTACTTTTGATCCAAACTGAGTGTCATGCCCATAATATAAGCTTTCATGTCAATAATATGATCCGGAAAGTCAACCATTGACATTATCGCCGATAGTTGTGCTTCTTCAAATTCTTGTTGCCGATGACGACGACCAGATGATCTGGAAGACAATATACTTCATCTTTCCCCAGGACTGATAAAAGAATTCCCATAAACTTCATTTTTCCTGTAATGAATTCTATTACCATATTTCTTACAATATGATTTTTCAGTTTGTGGCTTTTCTATAGCTACTTATCGAACTAATCCTACGCGTTTTCTGCGACAATCTGTGATGCATACATATATTCTTTAAGTTTTAAATCAGTTATAAACCAATTCAGATTCAAATGAATATTGAAACCACAATATGAATTTTTTTTCGCCTGTAAATTCGACCAAGTAATTATCGCAAATTCCGAATTTCCATAAAACATTTAGCAAGATATCAAGATTAAAATCTCTCATGACAATCCTAAACAAAAAAAAAAGAAAACGTCAACCGCTCTTCTCGTTTTGGCCATGATTCCGTTTCTGGATATATTTTTTCAGCAATCTAAAAAATTCCGCAAGTTTTTATTCCTTCTTAAGAAGCCAACAACAACATTATTTATGTTATGTGCTTCCTTGGATACAGAGTTCAGAAGTTTTCTTATAAATAATGGGTCAAAATTTAGAATTTTCAACACACTGCCTCACTTGCAAAATAGCATTATATAGGAGACTATATATGCTTAAGTTGAGAATGGAAAACCGAATATAAAAAACAAAAGCGCTCCGATTTCTAGGAAAAAAACGATGTGAATCACTAAATAATTCTGTTTAATAATCAACCGACTGAGTTATAGGAAATTTAAATTGCCAAGTCTTAACAGGCCGAAAAGTAACATTCTCTTCTTAATCGATTAAAACTTCTGCAGTCTCTGAACACCATGGCCAATACAGAATAACTGCTATAAGTTTTTTTAAGTAAAATTTTACCGGAGCTACTCAAAGTGTGGTAGGCAAGCTACACTTTGAATAATAGCTCGAGTAAAATTTTGTTTGAAGAGCATCTGCTAAAGTTAGATCTGTAGATGCCATTGAGATATTCCTGGAGAAACATAGATTTTTTATCAATTCGTACATAAACAAAAACAACTCACCATATTCCCATCAACTATTTTAAATGCGATACGATGAGGCGGTGAAAATTCATTGTCCCCTGTTGCATAAATTAATAACCGATGGTCATTTTCATGACAAAAACATGGACAACACGCAGCGTATGTAATCGTCGAGCTGTCACCAACATTATCATCCTCATTTATCAAATGCCAATTTTTGCAACTGGAACATTCAGTCCTCCATTCAGAACTAATTTCTTCAATTCGCCTTCTCATTTCGTTTCTTCGTTCATTACCGCTTAATTCTTCACTCACCAGCTCATTCGCTTTCGAAGTTAATGTCTGAAAATGAATCAGGTCAAAGTGAGAAAACCTATTATTAGCTATTGTTTGAAGATATGAACCGATAAAATCAGTATCAAGACGCAAAACTGCGTATCAAATATTGATATTCTGGAAAGTTCACAATAATTTCTGTCAAAGTGAATAACTGGCATATCAGCATTATGTTTTTTTTTCATCTATATATCCCTGTTCTTCTTCAAAATCGCTAAATTTTATGCTATCAAATACTAACAGAAAGACATTTATTAACGGTACAATCGCAAACACAACTGCATGTTGAAAATATTTTACCTTGTGTTCAATTGCTGCTTCCTCTGCAAGGACTACAACGCCTCGGAGTCGAGAAGGGACAAACCGACCTAACTTGATCATTTGACAGTAACTTCCACCTCGATTTAATATTCTAAGCAAAAATAATTTGTATAAAATTCAAAGCATTTCATCAATATTTAAAGAGCATTTTACAAATATTAGCAGCCTGTAAATGCACAAATTGCTTGCAAGACTGACACCAGACGTTAGGCTGCTGATGAATGAATGAGTTCAAAACTTACTATTCCCATAAACTATCTTAACTTACAAGTGGACAAAAATTAAGTAGCTTTGCGTCACTTAATAAATGATACAAAATTTCATTCAAACAAATTTCGTTGAAAAAATCATTTTTCTTCTGTTAACAAGCAAGGCATAGAGAAGCTAAAAAGAACTTTACCGAAAAACAGGACTCATAACTGATTCATTACCAACTGCATCCGGTGACAGTGATGAACAAATCCAAATTTGCGATACTGACGTGCCCACAACGGAGCTAAAATGAGATACAATTTTATTTTCTGCAGTAGCAAAAATTATTACTTTTATTTTACTATAACTGTTAATTGGTTATAAATGCGAATAGCACATTACTACAAAGAACTTCTGTTTATTAAGATTTTACTTCCATTTTAATTCTGATAGAAAGTTATCAAATTATAATGTTACTGAATCCTAATCTACTAAATAGTATTAACTAAAACACATTTGAAATATCCATTAAATTGAACAAAAAAATTATTCAATAATAAACGTACTTCCGATTCAAGAAATATATATCACCACTGAATATATATGAGCTATTGTACCAGCATGCACCCACCTCAGGAGGATTATTTAGCACACGACACAAATAATGTATTGATGAGCTGTCTTCTGAAAAAACAACTCGTCAATATTATTTGACAATAAAAAACAACATTTTGGATCCCCTTCTACCAAGTCAGATTAACACAACATGAACATTCATATTAAGTGAGCATTTTAAGCTAGTCTTTCTTTCGGAGATTTTTCCGAAATTATTAAAGATCGAAAGGAAAAAAATTTTAGTACAAATTTTTAAGATTAATGAGAACTGTTCAGCTGCTGCGTACAGTTCATTTTCACGAGTAGTAAGAATGCATGTTGGCTGACAATATACTTGCAAAGATTCGCGATGCCAAACATCGAAATGTTTTATGTAATCTCCCGAATAATAAAGAATGCCTCGCAATAAATTCCAAGAACCTGGAGAAATCACATATCCTACTTATTATTAAAAAAAGAGAGTTGAAATTGCAGAAAAAAGCAAACCATCGACGGAATATATTGCAATTTCACCAACTCCACCAAACTTCACACCGGCTACAAGAAGACGTTTATTGTCTGCACTGAACTCACAGCTCAAAGCACGTTCCCATCCAAGCGCATCATCCATGTATCTTTGATCCAGCAAATATACCGGACTTGTAGCGGTCCATATCTATAAATAAGAAGAAATGAAAGATTGATGTCATAAAATGCAATTTTAACGCAAGCTTCAATAAGTTCAATAATAAAAAGTTAGATGAAGTAAACATTTGTCATCTATTAGAAAAGTGAGAAATGTCCAATCGTTCAGTGAATTGCGCCTTTTAAATAAGCACTGCGTGCTTCCCAGCTAGGTATTAACCCCTTAAAAACAACACTTGACTAGCTGTCGATAGTTCAGTGATCAGAAGTATTCGGATTTGTTCGAGCTGTGTACGATAATTCTTTCAGGTTTATGTGAGGCTCCTTAATCTTTATAACTCACCATTCAATTATCATTTCCGCATTCTAATATAAATTGCTAATTGAGGTTTTGCATTGTCGAAAAAGCACTGTAAACAAATAACAAGAACGCACTTTGAAAGAGGCATCGTTAGCTGTCGTACAAAATAGTTGACCATCATCGGAAAATGCAACATGTGACAAACCGTCAGGACAATCTCGTAAACTTTCCGTAAGAGTTATTGGAGGCTCAAATTTCAATAACTTGTATTCATCGATCCAACGTTCACACACCTATATAATACTAATAGACTGCTTTGGCAATATTAGAATATCTCTCAGAAAAAAAATATTAGAATATTACAATATTAGAATATCTCACTAGACCAAAGATGTATACCAGATATAGCACATCATTTACTTCAAGCATCAGTGAAAATAGCTGATTTCACTGATCAATTCTTGATGATTAACTACTCTTAACGTTGAAATTCACCTTTCTGTAAGTCTGACTGTTTCGCGTAAAATCTTTAAAAAACAAATATTTCCACAATGAATCATCTTCTCCTACACGTTTCCAGTGATAATTGACGTTACCAAGGCGTGCCAATTCTTTCGCCTCTAGGTGAGACATTATCATCAATAACAGTTCGGTTGGCAAATCGTCCCATCCTTTACTCATTTAATCACTGAAAATATTGATATAATAAATTGTGGTGCATAAAAAAAAAGAAAAAGTATTAGGATGATGCAAAAAATAATTGCATTTTTTATACTGCTGAACTTACACTCTTTGCTGTTTCATATTGCAATAAAGCATTGAACAATTGCAGCTTTGAGTGTTTTAAAGAAGTTAAACGAATTGGGCTACCAAAATTTTGTCTCATCATCTCTTCATCTCATCCTTCACAAAAAAAATTAGTACTTCTTCAATCATTCTATCAAAAAAATTTTCCCTTTCACAGCACTACAAAAAAAAATTTTTCCCTTTCACAACGTCGAGCACA